TGTGATGGTACATTTTGAAAAAAAAAACTGGTTGGATCTGTAAGTTGTTCCAAACCAAGATGCATATTTCAATGTATGTCTTCTCAAAATGGGAAATTCATTATGACTTATGTCTGCTTATAGACTCAAGCAGTAGGAGGTGGTTGGATCTAGCTTTCAACTCTTCATCACTTTGCAACTGAATGATTTCGTGTTGCAGGTTATCGGGTATATCAGTTGGTTTTACATTGATTTACATTGAATGGTGTAGCAGAGATGTTAAAATTCCATTTGTTTACTTCTCATATCCTTGAATTTTTCATTATATTCCTCAGTCAGTTTCACATTCACACCTTCCGCAGCATATTCACACTCTGTAGAAGGCTTTTGTCCTTCCGAAGAGCAAGGCACCATGCTACTCCTTTGGAGTTGCACTTTCCACAGCCTTAATTTAGATTCAAATGCTTTCATGTTTGAAAGCCGGGGCTGACTAACTGGTTGGGGTCCTGCAGCTTGATGTTCAGTTCTGAGAGGTGTAATGTCTGCCATGAATGTTAAATCACAGTCACTTGCTATAATTGAATTTCTGATAGGTTTCCATTCATCTCCATGAATAACCTGATTTCATCCTGCAGAATGTAAAATGCTAAACCTCGGAGTATGTTCCGGAGACTCAGCCACTGCACTTCACCATGATCAAAAACATTCATTGTGCTCCGAGTCAAGTTCATGCAGTGATTCCTAAAACTAGCTGCTATTAAATTCCCTGCTTTTGACAAAATTTACCCTTGATATTACTATTGACATATTGTTGAGCCCAGAGTCCGTTTTGGATTATGATGCAGATGCAAATATAGTTAAATCATTTGGATTCAGTTCTTTCTCGACAAATACAGTCAACCGGGTTTTTTGTTTGATTTTGATTTTTTCTGAGCTCTAGCTAGAGCAGGGCCGCTTAACCTTTTAAATGATAGTTCAAGTTATTTTTCGTTGATAAAACCAGTCTCTCAAACAAGTTCTCTCCTCGTGTACTGCCGTGCATGGCTCTCAGGGACAGCGGTTCCTGTAGAATACCAAACTCTGCAGTTTTCCCAGGAATGAAATTGGCCAAATGTGCGGCATTTGCTACATCTGTTGCCTTGTCATGAGTCAGAGAGAAAAACTGGAACTCCTGGAGAATCCCGCAGTGGTTTTTCAATCTCTTGTGCTGTCAGTAACAATCTGAGATAGTTCTTCAAAACAAGCTAATACTCTGAAACAATTTTACTTTGTCTGGTGCAAACAACCCCCTGGCAGCCCGTATGCACTCTTTCGCAAACTCTCCCTCTACGTGAGG